AAAAAAAAAAAACCCTGATTAGCTCAGATTTGAGCTAACATCTTTACATATATATCTTTATCTTTATATATAAAAGATAGAAGGAAAGGCAATCTGATAAGAATAAATATTTTAAGAAAACTGTTAAAGACTGCAGCTAGGATAAAAAATTAAACCCTTTCTCCCAAATAACATGCTGAAAAAAATATAGGAGAGGGAGGCAGTCCCAAAATGGGAAGGAAGCTGAGTAAAACCAAGGCCTCTTTCAAATAATACATTCTATTGTTTGAAAATTTACTCACTCTAAGTCACAGTGAAACTTTGACATCATCTTAAAATTATCACAAATAAGACAGTATGCATACAATTCACATGATAGAAAAGCCAATATTTGATGTTCTTCAAAAAGCTAACTATACATTATCCTTCATATTTAAATATAAAATATTAATTTCCTTGTATTTCCATACTTAATTCCATAACCACCTAAGTAAATGTTGACATATTTAGATTCTCAATAGGGGCTATACTTACCTCTGGAAGGAAGGAGGTAGGAGGTACAGGCTCAGTATTTTGATCCTTTAAAATATTAACAAACAATTTTGATTAAGTCTAGTTAAATTCTGGTATATGTTTCCAAACAGTGTTTAACCTAAATTTTCTTCATGAAATTAATTCATTCCTTTTTCTTTTTTTTTTGAGACAGAGTCTCACCTGTTGCCCAGGCTGGAGTGCAGTGGCACAATCTCAACTTGCTACAACCTCTGCTTCCCAGGTTCAAGTGATTCTCCTGCCTCAGCCTCCCAAGTAACTAGGACTACCAGCATAAGCCACCATGCCCGACAGATTTTTGTTTTTTTAGTAGAGACGGGGTTTTACCATGTTGGCCAGGCTGGTGTTGAGCTCCTGACCTCAGGTGATCTGCCCACCTCAGCCTCCTAAAGTGCTGGGATTATAGGCATGAACCACCGTGCCCTAATTCACTCCATTCTAGAATGCCAGTTCCATAGAATAAATGTATGCTGTAGAATGAAATTCCTCTGAATAGTTTACAATTCATCTTTTCTATTGCCATAGAAGAGACTATAAAAGAACTATTCAGTGCAAAATGAGTAAGAAACTTAAAACTCAGGTTTGAGCTTCTTACCTAAACTATGTGACCAATAATTATTTATTGGTCCATAAATTATTTAACCCAATCGAATTTACTCACCTGTAAACAGGGATAATATTGACACATATCTTAGGAGGTTGTAAGGGTTAAATGACATGGTTCATTTGAAATGTAATTACACTCCTGAAACTTGGTAAAGCATTCAATGCATACAAACGATTAATTTTAATGTCACTTATTACAGAAATCAACTAATAATATACACAATAGCTAATTTTTCTCCTAAAGGGAAACTCAAAGACTATTACGTAAAAATTAGGTACAAAAAGTATAATTTGGAAATCTAGCCTAGCCAATGCAATATGATGACACATTATAGAAAAAAACAAAAATAACATTTTTAGCAAATTAGAAAATTACATGCCTAAAAAATTCAATGATCAACACCAATGAAAAGGGAACATTTAAAAAAAAATTTAAAAATTAAAAAAGTCAATGAAAACAACTAAAAACTTAGAATTTAAAATCTATTAGCAAAGGAGCTTCTGAAAATTAACAGCATTTTTACTCTCCAGAAGGCAGGGAAGGAGAGAGGGAGAGCAGGGGAGAGAGAGAGAGGGAGGGAGGGAGGGATGGAGGGAGGGAGGGAGGGAGAAATGGAGTAGGCCATTGCAGTAATAATAGCAAAACTACACATATTAAAAAAAAGAGTACAATAAAAACTGATAAAATCTAAATAAAGCATACAGTTAATAGTACCATACCATCATCCATTTCCTGTGTTTGATTATTATTGTTTCATAAGATGTCATGATGGGGGAAACCTGGTAAAGGATACACAGAAACTCTGTACTATTTGTGCAACTTTCATGTGAATCAAAAATTATTTCAAAATAAAAGGGTTTTAAAAATGCAGAAAATACACCTCCTAAGAAACTTCTGTTAATGAGACAAAAAAAAGTATGAGGTTGTGTGCCGTCACTCACACTTGTAATTCCAACACTTTGGGAGGCCAAGATGGGCAGATCACTTGAGGTCAGGAGTTTGAGACCAGCCTGGTCAATATGGCAAAATTGTGTCTCCACTAAATATATAAAAAATTAGCTGGGTGTGGTGCATGCCTGTAATCCCAGCTATTCGAGAGGCTGAGACAAGAGAATCGCTTACACCCTGGAGACAGTGGTTGCAGTGGGTAGAGATTGTGCCATTGCACATTAGCCTGGGTACAGAACTAGCCTCTATCTCAAAGAAAAAAAAAAAAAATGAACAAAAAGAAAATTACAAAACCTCCAAAACATAAAAGAAGATCTGAATCAACAATGAGAAATAAATTTCCAGAGGGGAAATCCAAACATCATAGCACTATCATTCGAATTATATTACTAATTTTAAGCAGTTCTATTTACAATCCTACTTCCTTTTTTAAATGACTTGATAAAATAATTCTGAGGTTCATATGTAACAACAAATAGACTAATAAAGCAAGATTAGCTCTACCAGATATTAAAGAATATAATGCTATAAAAATTGAAAACAGTATAATCCCAGCACAAGAACTATTAGACAAAGTAGCATAATCAGATGGTCTACACACATATCCTATTCCCTCCATGCTACACAGCTGAATTCCAGATAGACTGAAGAACAAAACAGTCAAAAAGTTACAGAAAGGGAATATTTGACAATTTTTAAAATATCATTAAGGGTTTCTGGTCTGACATGTACAGAGCTTGGAAGACATCACTCCTATCCTCACAACCTGAAAGCTGAACCAACTGCAAATCAGTAACTCTTCTTAGACCCAATAGAGAACTGAGGTTCAGGACAAATTGCTGCTCCCAAAACTGGAGAGAGAGGTGAATTCAGAAATTACAGCTACAGGTATCACAAACTCCAGCAGGAGAAACACACAGCTGGAGCCAGTATCCATAGAAACATTTATACTATAATGTAAATTGGTAGAGGTTCAATGTGAACTAGCATGAGAATTAAAAACTCAGGATGGGCAGTCTAGTTGGAAGAGAGAGGGTGAGAGGGGAAACTTTCCTGAGTTTTACCTCCAGGTGTCCCATCAGAGGTTCACACATGAAGATCAAAGAAAACTTCCCTGTAGCTTCCAGTAGGAGAAAAAATAATCATTTTGAAGTTGCCCAGAGATCTCTGTTCTCAATAACAAAGACCTGCCCTCAAAAGAAACTACAACAGCCTCCCCTCATCCAAGGTTTCACATTCCACAGTTTGTTATCCACCACCTAACCAACTTGTGGGAAGAGAAATTCCAAACTCCAGCCCCCTTTCAGCCTTCCTACTATCTCATTTAAGTATTGGGAGGTAGAGGTTGCAGTAGCTAAAAAGCACTCATGAAGGTCACAGTTCAAAGACACAGGCTCACTAAAAGACTGAGAGCAAATCATAAGATTTAAAACAGTTTTACACACACACATACAACCACCACATAATAGGGCTCCTGTGTAATAACAGGGCTTATAGCTTAAATAACTACAAGACTCCGATCCTACCTATGAAGGAGTTACTAGGGAAACCCAAAGACAACAAAGGAGACAAAAATAAATACATGAGAGGAAATTTTAATCTCTGACACCAAAGCTACAGCAAACAGCAAACACAACCTAACTCCCAGCCAGACAGGCCTCTAGGCCACACTACAGGCCTATTTATCTCAGTTCCTTCTACCCCTTAAGTCACATCCAGCTTACCAAAAAAATTACAAGGCATGCTAAAAGGCAAAAAACAGAGTCTGTAAAGACAATGCAGGCATCAAAACCAGACTCATATATGACAGAGATTTTGGAGTTATGACTGCCAGAATTCAGTAGCTATGATTAATGTGCTAAGAGCCTTAATGGAAAAAACTACAAGACATTCAAAGAACGATGGCCATTGTAAGCAGAGACCTGGAAACTCTCAGACAGACTGAAATGGAAAACAAAAATCGGTAACAGAAATGAAGAATGCCTTTAATGGATTCAACAGCAGAACAGAGACAGTAGAGAAAACAGTAAGAGAAAATGAAGATATATTGATAGAAACTTCCCAAACTAAAAAGCAAAAAGAATTTAAAAAAATATATAACAATATTTAAGAACTGTTGGACAATTACAAAAGGTGTAACTATGAATAATGAGAATATCAGAAGAAGGGAAAGAAACACAATAAATATGTGACTAATGGTGATCAGTTCTTCGAAATTGAGAGACACCGAACTATAGATCCAGGAAGCTCACAGAACTCAAGAGAAATAAATACTAAAAAATCTACATCTAAGCAGATAGTTTATCTAAAGAATCTATATGAAAAAACTTTGCAAAGAACAATAGTTCTATTAGTATGTGAAAAAAGGGTTACTTTTCACTTTCTCTAAATTTTCTATAACTACTTTTATAATTCAAAAATGTTAATTATAATTTTAATCTATGGCTACAAAAATAATCTTGCACAGTTTTAAAATGTTCTGAAACCAATTTCATAAAGAATTTCAAAATTTTTTAGCAACTATATTTTCTAATGTATAACTTCCTTAAGGTAACTACTTTGAAATTTTTTTTTTGCCCCATTATTTTATGAGCACATTATAATTACATTACCTTCTTCAGAACTGTGCTCAGAAGGTTCTGAGAAAGACAAGTTTACCACAATAACCTAACCTGGACTGCTGTACTTTTCCTGCCGCCTTCTGCCTCCTTCCCTTGAAAACAATCCCACTTCCTGTTTCTGACAGTGCATGTGTTTTAGTGACTATCCTGCTTGCTTTCTATTACTAATGCTGTTCCAATACAGAGAGAGGAAAAGACTGATAGGTATCACTATTTATTAAATCAGTAAATTTAATTTTATAAATAACAAATCAATATATTTGATCATGACCCTAGCCTAAAATGAAAGTTATATGATTTGTTAATCACTTCATTTATTCAGAAATATTTTTATCCCCAGGCAAGACTCACAGGCTGCTATTGCTTTGCCTATAAAATAAGAGGGTATATTACATGAATTGGTGAAATGGTACATGGTATATCGTGAACAACCAGGGGAATTTAACATTAAATTTATTCCTTCTGTATGACTGCATGTTTGTACCCTATAACCTACTTCTCTTCATTTTCCCCACCACTCACCTTTCCCAGTCTGTTATCAATCTTTTTATTCTCTACTCCCATGTGATCAGATTCTTTTTAGCTCTCACGTATGTGAGAACATGTGACATTTCCCCAAATTTGTCTTTTTTTTCCTTTGAGACGAAGTCTTACTCTGTTGCCCGGGCTGGAGTGGTGCCACAATCTTGGCTCACTGCAACCTCTGCCTCCCGGGTTCAGGTGATTCTCCTGCCTCAGCTTCCCAAGTAGCTGGAATTACAGGTGCCCACCACTACACCCAGCTAATTTTTTTGTATTTTGCGTAGAGACAGGGTTTTACCACGTTGGCCATGCTAGTCTCAAACTCCTGACCTCATGATTCACCTGCCATGGCCTCCCAAAGTGCTAGGATTACAGGCGTGAGCCACCGCGCCCAGCCCAAATTTGTCTTTAATATGTGCTTTGGTAATTTCACTTTAGCCTTTAATATTAATCTAACAATACTTATTTCAAATCATATTTAAAAACCATAGCTTATAATAGCCAACTTAATCCATATTTCTCTTAGCTGTGTATGCTTAAGTTACTGGAAACAAAATAAAAATTAAGGCAGTTTCCATGTATGGGGTACTATGCTTCATGTAGGGATACGGGAAGGTTAGGTGAAATGTAAAAGGTTCATGTTGTTTCTCCATTCTGTCATTCTCAAATCTACATTGGTAAAGTCATTATGAAATGAATTTTTTAAAGTTTTAAAGGTACAGATAAAATGCAAGCTGAGCTTCCCACAAATCCAGCATTTCTTTCAAAATGTTTTCACTGCTAATTAGGAAAAATTTTAAAGATATTTGTAAACATTAAAATATGCAAATCAAGTCACTGCTCTACTCATGAAATTGTACACAACTACATGTTAAATTCTTCAGTAAGGCTGACCTGTACTTAAGAATAATGCTATAATGCCCAAAAAAACGTAGTAACAATATATATGACAAAAGAGGTGATCATAACACAGTTTATCTCTCATAGTCTACCATTTCAGTCTACCAAAATTTCTGATTGTAGAATGGCAAAAAACTCTTTACCTAAGTTAATAGTGTTTGAAGCTATGTAAGATTCAAGAATTTTGTCTTTTCTAAAGTCATCCTCAAAATCTTGGCTGTAAATATTAAAGTACAGCCTATGCTATTCTGTTTTTGAGTGAAAACAATAAGAAAAGCTGAACTTTCCTAATTTAAATAAAGGATACAGAACACATTCCTCTATTTGGGATATGACAATGAATCACCATGGGAAAACTGACAATATAATAAAGGAACTATCACATAAAACTTTTTCTAAAATGGAGAAATAGGCTTAGGTTCTTTCTTCTTTCATTTATTTGACTGTCATTAGTCCTTTAAAACTTTAGGGCCAAAGAGTTATTTAATACCTTTATATGCACATAAATACATACATATACACATGCAAAAATTCCCATCAGAATTC